CGACTATTTCTTGACACTGGGTACAGGTGAGTGAGGGAAGAAAGTGTGCGATAGATGTTTTGCAAGCCTACTATCAGTCAACATTAATCCACGCGCAAGTTACCACCCTGTTGTGGAGCATACGGCGGACAGCATTGAAACTAATAGTCGAACTATCGGTGGTGTTCGTATTAGAAGTAGTAGTAGAAGTGGTGATGTTGTTCGTCGACTTGACCATATTTTCAGACGGAGTGAATGCATTTGATTTACCCCTCGCAGACAGCTGCCTAGCGTGAAAAAAAACCGTAGTCGAATTACCGTGGAAGGATACGGGGGACAGCAGGGAGCCGTCTTTGACTTCCCTAATGCTTCTGTCAAATATAATTCAAGCCAAGGGCAAGGCGCACTCACCTCGAAAAGGAGGCACGGTAATTAAAATGAGGAATACAACCAATAAGCCCACATTATAGGCCTGCCTCCCCTTCAGGACCGTTTAGGCCAGTGACACAGTCACCCTACTCACCCCATCATCCAAAGCAGTTAAACAACTCACAACCTTGGGCTTGTCCTGTTTGTTACCCGTCAAGGATTTGTCCATTATTTTCACTTCAGATGGCTGACATGTCACTTAAACTTGTGGTTATTCGCTAGGAGACGCCGGCCGGAACGTAAATTTGTCCAAATGACTGACGGAAGCCACCGTCTCAAATAGTAACGTATCTTGGTTGTTTTTATGTGGATTCTATCGCTCATACCTAGCCTCCTCTTAGAATTTGCCATCGCCCGAGGCTACGGAATTGAAGACGAAAACTTCCTTCAGGACCTCCGTACTCGGAAGTAACACTGTATTCTGTGCTCTTATAATTATTGCCTCTTTTTATCCTCTTCCTCCTCTTCTTATTCTTCTGTGCACCGAAGAGGTGCCTGCAAAGGTCCTCCTTACAAACCTTTTTATCCGTTGCCAAATATTTCTTTTTGAACCTCTCCCGTGTTCAGTTTTCAAGATGAAGAAAAAAGAGATGACAGTGGGATAGCTTTTTTCTCTCTACTGGATGATCTGCCGCATCTCCTCCCAGCTGCCCATTCGAACACGATTTTTTCAACACATTAGGGTTGAAATTGGATTTTGGACTCGCCCGCCGAATATGGCTTCTCGCACCAGTCGATCTCAATTTTCAGAGTCTGTCTCGAGCTTTTCATTCTTTAT